ACAACAACAACAACAACAACAACAAAACCAGTCAGCACAAGGGCGGTGGGAAGGGCCACGGGAAGAGCGTCAGAGGGAGGAAAAGCTCATGGGGGCAGAGTGAAGATCACGTGGAGGCTGATACCCATAATTTTGCCGCAATGATACACATAGCAAAACCGTACACGTATCCGCTGCCTAGTAGACTGGCGTCCAGCCGCAGATCCGGTGGTTTCTGAAGCCGGCCACCTCGGGGACCCGCAGCACGTGCCTGTGTGCCGAGTCCGGGATTGGCCTGGGCCAGTTAGACGGCCGTGCCGAAGGATGGACAGACGCCACGGGTGTGCCGGCCCGGCCCGGGGGCTCGTGCGTGTCGCCGACACCCTATATTTAGATGCGCCCGCGGCCCCGTGTCCTTTGCCATCCTTGCGACACACAGCCAAGCGTTCGCAGCGCTCCCGGCAGCCTCCGGGAGCCTCAGATCCCCGGAGATATATATAATCGTGGCGCTGGGCCAAGAGCGCCGTGGAAGGCGCTGGCTGGCACGGATGGAAAATGGCAAGGGGGAGAGGCCGACTCATGCGCGCACGCGCCCCTCCGGGCACAGGCACGTGCAGACGGGGGCGGAGTTCCCTGTGCATGCACGCATGCGCATGTGTTAGCTGTGAGCGTGCACGCACCCGTTTGTGTGCGCGCGTGTGCGTGCTCCTTCACGCCGGTGTGCCGCCGCTGGAAAAGGTGGCGTGTCTGTGATGATAACTTTGTGTACTGTTTTTAATTTTAGTTTTTATTATTTTTTAGCATTGTTTAAACACTTTTTAAAATGTTTATTTTTGAGAGAGAGACAGAGCACGAGTGGGGGGAGGAGCAGAGAGAGAGAGGGAGACACAGAATCCGAAGCAGTTTCCAGGCTCCGAGCTGTCAGCACAGAGCCTGACACGAGGCTCGAACCCACGAACCGTGAGATCGTGACCTGAGCCGAAGTCGGACACTACACTGACTGAGCCACCCAGACGCCCCTACCATTGTTTTTAAACATTTACTTATTTTTGACAGAGGTGAGAGAGAAAGAAAGAGAGAGAGAGCATGAGCAGGGGAGGAGCAGAGAGAGGGGAAGACCGAGGACCCAAAGCAGGCTCGGTGCTGACACACAGAGCCCCACGTGGGGCTTGATTTCAGGAACCGTGTGACATCGTGACCTGAGCCGAAGTCGGACGCTTAACCAACTGAGCCACCCAAGTGCCCCTGCTTTTAGCATGAAAACAATTATTTAAATTCAAGTTAGCTAACCTACAGCACAGTCCTGGCTTCCGGAGTAGAACCCAGTGCTCATCTCTTACATGTGACACCCAGTGCCCGTCCGCCAGCCCCCTCCTTAGTGCCGGTCACCCGTCTGGCCCATCCCCCCCACCTCCCTCCGGCAGCCCTCAGTTGCTGTCTGTATTGCCGAGCCTCTTACGGTCTGCTCCCTCTCTGTTGTACCTCATTTTCCTTCGCGCGCCCTGTGTGCAATCTGTCACGTTTCCCCGTGTACTTCTCTGACGCGTCCGATTTCTCCGCGCTCACCCAGGCGTACCTCCATGCAGTCGTCCGCCCAGAGGAAGTCGTCTTCCCAGAGGGCTTCCGGCCAGACGGCGCTGGGGACAACGTGCAGTATCTGTGCGAAGAGGGTGAGCACCGAGCTGGAGGAGGAGGAGCAGGACAAGAAGAGAAGGTAACCCCCGCCTCCCCCAGACTGCCTGCAAAGGCCGCGCAGGCCCGCGGAGTCACCGTGCCGGCCCGCGGAGTCACCGCGCCTCGGGAGGGAGGGCCTGAAGGCCAGAGGGGGGGGACAGTGACTGGGCGGCAGCCAGACGCACACCCGAGAGAGCCTGGAAGGTCACACTTGCTTCTTTTTTATTCTTTTTTGTTTTTCATTTTTAAATGTTTATTTTTGGGGGGCAGGGAGGGGCAGAGAGAGAGGGAGACCCAGAATCCGAAGCAGGCTCCAGGCTCTTGAGCTGTCAGCACAGAGCCCGACATGGGGCTCGGACCCACGAACTGTGAGACCATGATCTGAGCTGAAGTCGGATGCTTAACTGACTGAGCCACCCAGGTGCCCCGGTGATGCTTGCTTCTAACAAAAGCATAAGCTCCCGCTGCCTGCTTATTCGTCAGTGACATCACCTCAGTGGACCCTAAGAGGATAACTGTCGCAGAAGGGAACGTCGCAGACGGGGCCGCGTGCCATGTGTGCATTGCCGCTGGCATCCTGTGTCAGGTCCCGGTCGCCGTCCCACGTGGCACTCGCTAGCTTTCCACGCACAGTGGGATTCTCACATTAAAGCCCTAAGACCTGGCGGTTTGAAGGTCATGTGGAACCTCCACCGACAGCCTCCTGAGCTGCGCAAGCGGGGCAGTGAGGTCGCCGACTCCAGGAAGGCGATCTTCCTGAGACGCGCCAGCATTCCCAGGGGTGTCCGTGGGGAAACCGTCGTGAGGGGCCCGTAGACGGCCGTGCCGTGCGTGTCAGGGGACTCAGCTCATGGGGAAAATGTCACGGGCGTGACATGGATTAATAGGGACATCAGTCTTAAAATTATTTCCAGATCAGAGAGGCAGCTGGTGATCTTAGAAGAACAAAATAGTTGGGTGGGTCATGAGTGCTTTATTTCATTCCTGCTGCTTCCCCCCTCACCTCTCCCTCCTACTTCTAGAAAATTTCCTCGATATCTCTAACACATTGAAAACCTGAAAGAAGAATGAGATTTTGGTAAACAGGTTTCATTTTTGATGAATTTCACGATGGAAGGATCTGTGTAATAAAAATGTACAGCTGAAGAGATTAGCCCTCATTTTTAATCTTTGAATGATCTTTTAAATGCCTTATGGGAATTTTGACACATGAATTTCATTATAAAGTGAGGATTTCTTTTGTAAGAGAATCACTTCAAAATGTGTACGTTAGAGGAGTGCCTGGGGGGCTCCGTCGGTTAAGCGTCTGACTTTTGGTCTGATTCAGGTCATGATTTCACGGTTCTTGAGTTCAGGCCCCGCGTCGGGCTCTGTGCTGACAGCTCGGAGCCTGGAGCCTGCTTCAGATTCTGTGTCTCCTTCTCTCTCTGCCCCTCCCCCACTCGCTCTGTTTCTCTCTCAAAAATAAACATTTAAAAAATTTAAAACGTGTACGTTATAAAACTCTGGATTTTCTGGTATTGGATTATTTAAAAAATGCTTCTACCCATAGTTAGGGTTCAAGTGCAGGGAGTGAGAGGACTAGAGCTTTGTAAGTTTATGAGCCATTCCTTGTGTCCTTGAACATGCCACGAGAACTCTCCACTCCTCAGTTTTTGAGGGAGTGAGATGGGGGGAAGGTCGACTTCTGTTGCTCTGAGAGGTCAGGGATTCACGTGGTTTTGGCGATAATGACTTTGGTGACCTTCTGGCTGTGGGAAATCTTTCTGGGATACACGAGGCTACTCGCCCGAAGTAGGAAGCTGACTCATGGCAGGTATGTGGGTTATAACCCGTGTCTCCCCAGCTCATTTTGTTCCTTACCTCCTACGGCAGAAACTAGTTTAACGCGTGGGACAGATTGATTGGTGCTCGAAAGATGAACCCGTGGGTGCATCCGTTGGAATTACCACTCTATCTCCACGTAAAATAGGAACCCAAGACTCGTTGGGAGCTCTGCACGTCTCAGCGTGTCCTCCTGGGGGACACGTGGATTAGAAGTAGCCCTTTCACGCCCCTGCTTCTGTGCTAGTAAAAGACGGGCCTCCGTGCATCACACAGGCTGTCTGTGGGCTTGCAGAAGAGGGCCAGAGGCCCGGACACCTCATCACAGAGCAGCGGAGATGCTCCCTCAGTGGTTGGGGGGAGGGAGAGGGAGTAGGAGAGGGAAGAGGAGAGAGGGAGGGAGAGGGAGAGAGAAGAAAGAAGGGGAGGGAGGGAGGGAGAAGGACAGAAGAGAGGGAGAGAGAGGGAGAAGGGGCAGGAGAGACAGGCCGGGAGCGGGCCGGGCCCTGTTGGGCTCACAAAGATGGCACCCGGGCCAGATCAGCCGCACCTCGTTCTCTGCTCCCACAGATGAGAGGAGCTTAATTGTTTGCATCCTCTCTATTTTCCTGGAACACAGGTTTGCTTCCTGTCTGTAGCTGTGGATTCAGGAGGCTTTAACCCAGTCCTAAATTCATTCAGAACAGCAGTCTCCCCAGGAGAACAGGCAGTTATTATAGGATTCCGCGCAGGAGGAATCTCACGTCATCTGTGTGGGTGCCTCAGCGTGGGGTGTCAGACCCCTAGGCCGCCAGATGCTGACTTTCTCCCTTTTTCAATGTTTATTTATTTTGAGAGAGAGACAGTGCGAGTGGGGGAGGGGGAGGGGAGAGAATCCCAAGCAGGCTCCACGCTGTCAGCACAGAGCCCGACATGGGGCTTGAACTCACAGACTGGGAGATCAGAACCTGAGCCGAGAAAGAGCCAGGTGCTTAACCAACTCAACCCCCAGGTGCCCCCTCCCTTTTTAAAAAATGTTTATTTATTATTTTTGAGAGAGAGAGAGAGAGAGAAGGAGAAAGAACACGAGCATGAGCGGGGGAGGGGCAGAGGTAGGGAGACACAGAATCCTTAGCAGGCTCCAGGCTCCGAGCTGTCACCACAGAGCCCGATGCAGGGCTCGAACTCGTGAACCGCGAGATCATGACCTGAGCCAAAGTCGAATGCTCAAC